GTTTCTGACCACTGCCTCCCCTAATCTACCTTCCTTTTTTTTTTTTTAATTACTTCCCCTTTCTCTCCTCCTTACCGTTGGGTAAGATAGATTTCTATACTCAATTGAGTGTGTGTATATGTGTGCATATTATATAATATTATGTAACATATATAATATATGTAATATAGATTGTGTATATTGCTCTTGAAGGAAAGACAATTTTTTTCTCTTCTTTCTGTCTGTCTGTTTTTCTGTCTTTCCTTCCTTCCTTCCTTCCTTCCTTCCTTCCTTCCTTCCTTCCTTCCTTCCTTCCTTCCTTCCTTCCTTCCTTCCTTCCTTCCTTCCTTCCTTCCTTCCTTCCTTTCTTTCCCAGTGGGGTTAACTGATTTGCCCAGGGTCACACAACTACTAAGTGTTACGTGTCAAACGTTGGATTAGGACTCCGGTCCTCCTGAATCCAGGGCTGTCCTCTAACCACTGCGCCACCTAGCTGCCCAAATAATTTTTCTCTTTAAAATTAAAATTTCATTCTTTCCACTCTGCACTCTTGATTTACCCATAATCATACATGGACCATTGTCTAGTCTTTGATCAGATGCAGTCCATTGTTTCTCTTAAGCACTCACAACTTATGCAGTCTGAATAGTATTCTGCTTGCCCAACTTATAGCTGCATGGAACCTCAAGAGATCCTTTGGTACAAGTTCCTCTCTTCAGGAAGAGTGATGTGGCATTTCCCCCATTTTATAGATGAGGCAATGACAGATACCCAGAGGGTTTGTGTGACTTGTGCATATTTTGCACCTAGTAAGTGACAAAGGATGTCATAAGAGGAAGTAGTTTTGGCGTGTGTTGCCTCTCTTTTTCAAGGTGACCATACTTTTCATTCACCTCACATAGCTTTCTATATCACTTTTGTTAGTTGACTTGTACTAGTTAACTACTTGTACTAAGTATAATTGGACAGGATAATTTGTGGAGAGAGAGAGAGAATTAACAGTTTAGAATTTGTGATAAGATGAGCAGGAATCTGAGAACAGCTCATCTCAGGAATTTTCAGAGAGCAGTTTTCAAAGAGTATTGCGAAATGATGAATTCCATAGACTGAAATACAAGTCAGCCCAGTCTGGAGCGGAAATTCTCCAGAATGAAATTCTAAAGACACAGAAATAATCCTTATCAGGAAAGAATGAGGGAGTTCTCAAAGAAACCAATGTGGGAATACAAGTGGATGCATCATGTATAGATAATGGAAGCAAAGGAAGGTCAGAGGATGAGCAGAAAGTTTAGTATGGTTCTGTCAGCAGAGTGTTAAGAGTATGAAGCTCAGAATGAGTCTAGACTGCCTGAGAGGAGGCTGAAGACCATAAGAAGGGCTGTTTTTGTTTGTTTGTTTAGCAGTATTGTAAGGAAGAGGAAGATCAGAGAAGGAATAGGGCCACTGCATGGGTTAAATGGGATCATTGTAACAGAAAAAGTGGCAGAGCTGCTCAGCTCTATTTTATTTCAATTTTCAAGGGCAGCTAGGTGGCATAGTGGATAGAGCACTGGCCCTGAAGTCAGGAGGCCCTGAGTTCAAATGTGGCCTCAGTAACATAACACTCACTAACTGTGTGACTCTGGGCAAGTTGCTTAACCCCAATTGCCTCACTTAATAAAAAAAAAAAAGAGGCCCATTTATTTATTTTACTTCAATTTTCTTTGGCAAGGAAAATGACCTTTAGCTTCTGAAAGACAATTTAATTGTACAGATAATTAGCTACTACTCTATGTTATGTGCTGTGCTGTGTTTGGGTTACAAAAACAAAACAATACCTCCCAGAATAGAAATGGTTAATAGGGACCTGATCCCCAAGAAGAATAGGGAAATAGGAAGGGACACTTCATTATCATGATGAGCTCAATTCGTTTAATCATATGAGACAGGGGTGGCAGCAGAATCAGTGGCAGAGGGATCTGTGAATTGTGGGGAGAAGAGGAGGATCTTGGGGAATAGCTTTAATTTTTTCAGTGAAATAGATTGCAAAGGGGAGAGTGAAGAGAGGGTGTGGGACAGGAGTTATGGGAGATTTGAGAAGGGATGAAAAGATTTGGAAGAGCAGCTGTGGTGTAATAATGAGTCAGGGATGGGTAAAAAGGTTGTCTCGCTTTATTGAGCCCTCAGTTGAGATTATGTAATATAAATTTGTAGTGGGTGCAGTCAGCATGGTTCTGTGATTTTCTCCAGCTTTTTTTAGCAGCATGTGATTAGAAGTGAAGGGAGAAGATGGTGGGAGTAATCTAGGGCTGACAGTTGGAAAGATTGGTGATGTTATAAGGGGGCAAGAGAATCAAGAGAAGAAGAGAGTGTAGAGTTGAACATCAAAGGGTCAAAACAGGAAAGGGAGGACAATAATACAGGGAAGGTATTCTAGGAAAGAAATAATGGGTTGAAAGACTGAAGGTGCCAGTGAGGATGAAGAGCGAGGTGTGAGGTTACAAGGCAGAGAAAGAGGTGAAATGAGAAAAGATTGTGATCGTTAGAAAATTTCAGAGTTTACAAACACAGAAGTGGAGCACTTGTGCGTAATGGCAAGATCAAGGGTATGACCATTTTTCTTTGTGACTGAACTAAGGTAGAGGAATTAGTCATGGGAAATTAATAAATTGAGGAACTAGGAGAATAGGATGTTTAGCACAGTATCAGTATGTTGAAATACCTTAGAATGCAGGCAGAGATTGGAGAGGAGATAAAGACCATGGACCAGCCAGAAACAAGTGTCTTAGAGGTCAATAAATAAATAACTGCTACCAGAATTGTGATTGCGTGGCTAAATACAGATTTAGTGAACTTCAAGAGAAGAAAGGTGATGGAGGTAAAAGGGAGAGCCTGGAAGTAGTGATGGGGAACGAGGAATTTTCTGAGTACCCCATCTTGACCTGTGAGTCAGGGGTTCTGAGTGAAAACATAACCACTGCTACAAAGGATAGACAGGAAGTCTGTGTTGTGTCATCAGGAGGAAGCCAGGTCTCAATGAGTGCAAGAAGGTTGGAGGAGTGGGGAAGGAAAAGATTTAAAATGAAAGCAATTTGGGACACAGTGAGAGGGATGGGTAGCTTCAGAGTGGGACATTGGGAAAATAACCTTAGTCAATTACTCTCCTTTAAAAGTTTTTTTCTTAGCTTCCATGATAGTATACTATCCTGCTTCTCTTTTTGACATTTACCTGCTCCTTCTGCTTCCTTTGTGTCCTCTTCTGCCCAATCTCTAAATGTGGGCATTCTTTAAGGTTCAGTCCTTGGTCCTCTATGCTCTTTCCCCTGGACATCTCAAATTCTCCTATAGCTCTAGCCCTGACCTCTTCAGACCCACAATTTTTAACTACTTACTGGGTATTTTGGACTCTTACACTTAAATGGGTCTTTGATCTCACCAATTTGTTCACACCCTCTAAGAGTACAATTTACATCCCGTCTATTCCTTCTTATTACATGGAACTCATCTATGTATTCTGTTAAATCCTTCTCAGAAGACCTAGTCACTGTGCCAGGATCTTCTTCCAGGTTTCTTAACATTATAAGAGTACCCCATCTATTATCACTTGTTTTTGCTACATGATTTTCACCATATATCTCTTCTATGCATATTTTACATCATTTCTTCTGCAGATTAATCATTAGTAATATGCTGTAGCCTTATTTATGCCTATGATGCATCTTTATTGACACTTGGAGTGATCTTCCTTTGGATTCTTTGAGGATAATGATATTCCAAAATGTTCAGATTTGTAACAATATTAGAAGAATGTGTTAGGTGGATTTTTGTTTCAGGGAGAAATTTAGGGTCATTGAAAGTATTGTGCATTTTCCCAAATGCAATTCATATCATATTTTTCCTCCTATTCAAATCTGGTCTGAATGGTGGTATTGATTCAAGATTATGTAATTAATTGGACCAGTTCACTAGGCTGTCCAGATAGTTGCATATTATGGTCTGAACAATAAACACTCTTTACCCTCCTATGGCCCCCGTAGGGATTTTTATGCTAATCTCTTTGTGTGATTATGAATCTCATTCAGAAGGCTGTTCAGCATTCTGGTAATTAGCCCAGTCATCCACCAGTTAGGAGCATCTGGAGGGCCTTACTATCTAGAGAACTGTCTTCCATTTGGACTGTGTACTAGATGTCCTCTATGCCAATAGCAGATAATTTTGGAGAACAAATTTTTTTTGTTTTATGCCTTTCTTAATATTAGTAATCATACGGTAGACCTACAAGATTATCTCTGCTGCATTCATTAGGAAACCTTATATGATTTTAGCATATTACATGGGTTATACTTTATTATATACTTTTATATATTATATATATTATACTATAATATACTTTAGTATATACTTTAAATACATTATACTATATATATAATATATAATTACACATATTATATACTTTAAAAATTGCATTTTACTCCACCAAATCATGTTATTTTAGAGTCAAAGAATAAGCACAGTAGAATCTTGTATTCTATTCACCTTTCCATCAGTCATGTCATTATAAAGATGAGCTCTTTTATCTGTTATCATTCCAAAAGCCTGCTTCTTCATTAGGACAGCTAGGTGGCACAGTGGATAGAGTGCCAGGCCCAGAGTCAGGAAGACTTATCTTCCTCAGTTCAAATTATCCTCAGACACTTACTAGCTGTGTGACCCTGGACAAGTCACTTAACCCTGTTTGCTTCAGTTTCCTCATCTGTAAAACGATCTGGAGAAGGAAATGGCAAACCACTCCAGTCAATATTTTTGAAGAAAACCCCAAATGTGGTCACAAAAAAAATCAGACATGACTGAAATAACTGAACAACAAAAACCTCTTCTCTTGTCATGCCCTTGATAAGGTGTAGATTATTCTAACAAAGATTTTGTAGAGGTGAGAAATTAGATATATCAATTGGTAGCTATTAATATCCTCTGAGTTGTTTTCTAAGCAATTATAAATATTTTTAATTTTTCTAGTAATTTACTTCTTCTCTTATTTTCAGGTATCTTACAAATCTGTCTTTCCACACCATCAAGAGGAGATTCTCTCTTTGAAAGCTGGACTAAATAAAGTATATGTGGAAGAGGTTCATGCAGGAGGTAACACAATGAACTTCACAGATTGTCCTCAGCTTTTCTTTCCAGTCTTAACTCCTGACGCCGCCCTCTACAAACCTTTTGCTTTTGACTGTCTGGTTTATTCTGTATCCCCCAAACACATCTTCCTTCCCTGGTTTTCACTTTCAGGGTACAAGGTGAGAAGATAGGGGCAGGAAAAATCATTTTAGAAAGCCCAAACTGGATTAGCCAACATTCAGGGTTAGGTGGAACTTAATTATATAAGGGCCCCCCTAATTCTACAATCTTAAGAATTACTCCCAAGATTCTGTGCCTAGTAAATTAATTCAACTCACTCATTTAGGTCTTGGGTTGTGTGAGTTCAAAACTGTAGACCTTCAGGCATCCATCACTTTATAATAGGTATACTCATTTCCTTCAGCAAAGATAATGGCTGTTTTAGTGTTGCCATGCGCGTTAAGTGGTCGTGGCTGGTCTCTGTGTATGATTCAATATGGAGCCATGACTGAGAGGGTCAGGGCTAGCATCCGTTCTTTTTAAGGCATTGAGCCTTCCTTCCAGGATCTACCATTTAGGGGACTAGCTGTGATACCAAGCATATAGTGTGGCATGTAGATAGTCATGCATTTGGAAGTACACGAGTCATAAATTTAGTTTTAAATGGCCACCTTACAGATAATTTTTAGTTTCTCAACATATCCTAGGATAGAAGCCATGGCAGTGTAGCAAAAATGGCCCTATATTTATAGTTAGAACTGGAATTCCAGAGCAGCTGCTTAGTGACCTTGGGCAAATGGGAGTCACTGTCTTCAGCTCTGAAACTAGGAGTTTGTGCTTGAAGAGAAATATTCCTTCTGGCTTTAACTCCTATGAACCTCTCATTTTCAAATTCAAGATATCATGTATTGATTACGAAATAATGCCCTTAAAGACTTTTAATGTCCAATTCCCCTCCATCCTCTTCCCCTCACTGACTGCCACAGGTTATGTACACTATATTCCTAACTTGAGCTTCTTTCCATGTATCTTGACTTATCATTTTTGTGTAATATATCAATAATGATGCTATTTACACTGATGAGAGAAGGGCCAAAGTCTTCGAAGGTCCTCAAGTGCCTTCTAAAAAGAGTTCCCTTTATGCCTTTAAAAACCATCTGAGACAGGTGATGATACAATCATTTTACAAATCAGTGGCTGAGAAATTCGGTGACTGACCAGAGTTACAGTGTGAGGTTTTTGTTTGTTTGGGTTTTTTTTGCAGTGCTCTAGAAATAACTTTATTCTTCAGTTCCAAACGCTAGACTAGAGATAAACTTTAGAGAATTTGAACTCTGTGATGTGGTGGGTACTTCCTTCTTAGGTCACAGATCTATACTTTATCTATCTGAGGCAGCTACATGGTGCAGAGGATAGAACTCTGGGCCTGGAGTGAGGAAGACCTCAGTTCAGATCTGGCCCATACATGTACAGACTGTGTAACCCTGGGCAAGTCATTTAACCTCTGTTTGCCTCAGTTTCCTGAACTGTAAAGTGGGGTTAATAATTGCACCCGCCTCACAGGATTGCTGTGAGGATAAAGTCGGATAGTATGTGCAAAATGCCTGGCCAGTAGTAGGTGATGTACACGTGCTTCCTGTTGTTACTTTTATCATAATCATCAGTATTATTCCATCTTATCTTATGTTGCTTTTCTCCATGCCCCCCATGGGGCACTGACTTGTTTTGGGGATCTTTTGACATCGCTGAATACAGAGGTAGCATGCCAGCTCTCCATCAACTGTCCTTTGGTGTGTGGCCAGACCACTTCCTTTTCTGATACGTTAATTTTTTTGTTTAGACTTGTGATTTTATTAGCGTAGGTAAATCCTGATGTGGAAACTTCTTCTTCCAAGGCAGATCATCAAATCTTCTGTGACTTTTCAGTCTTAAGCGAGTTGCCTGGCACAGCAGGAAGTGGAGATTTGCCTGGGTTTACAGAGCTAGTTTGTGTCAGAGGCACTTCTTAAACCTAGGTGTTTATAACTCTGAGCCTGGTCTTCTCTCCACTTCCTAAGATACCGGAGTTATTTTCCTTACATAAGCAGTATGTAAGCATCTACCTCCAAAGGTCCTCTTGATTTCAGTGTTTATATTTGCTTTGGAATGAATCATAGGATGTTTTGGCAGCATCTTGTTATTCTAATTATGTTTTGTTTGGCAGATGTCAGAGTTTATTTGAATTCTCTGAGCAAGCACAACCAGATGGCTGGGAAGGTAGCTTGGAGTGTGTTGGGTGATAAGAGTAGGAAAGTCAGTTTGCATAAAAACGTAGTGCTTGCACTTATTAAAAACTTTTTTTATGAAAGGAAATTACAAGGTAGCTCAGATAGGGTATCTTTTAACTGTGTGTTCTATTGATTTGTTAGTTATTGAACATATTCTGTATCTTTTAATGAGTATTGATGATTTATTTATTATCAATCAATCCTTTATTATATAATCACTCACCTTTTTAGAGGCTGTCATAAAGTGGTTTGCTGTTGAATGTTTAACAACTGACTCAGAAAAAATGCATGTATATCTAATGTTACAAGAGTATCATAAATTTTACTGAATAACACAAAATGTACAATTAATAATAAAATACATAAAACTCTTTATTATAAATTCCATAAAGAAGCCATTGATTCTCACAGAATGCTTTTGTTGATTTTTTTTGCCAAACTCTTGTATCTATAGCCAAACTATGGTTGCAATTCAGCCTTGATATACAAATGGAGTTCCATCCCAGTTGATTAAGTTTTTTCCCAAATTATTACCATCAATTCTTAGATGAATCTACCATTAAAGTATTTCTCACCCTGGTACAGTTTATATTCATTAAGCTGAAACCTCTTTCAACCTCATCATAGCTGATAGCAGTAATACTAACTTTTTAGCTTTTTGTATAGTTGTAGGGATTGGAACATTGATTCTAGATTTTTATCTGCGAAGTCTTAAAAATTGTTCATATCAATTTCTTGTTTCAAAATTTCACTTAAGTGATGCAGGGCTTTTTTTACCCCTGTGTATACCAGCTATACACATGGTCTATAACCAATATATACCAGCTATATACATGGTGAAATTAGTTCTTCACAAGGCTAGGTAGATAATTCTAATAAAATCAAAATTTTAAATGTTTTAATAATTTCTGTCTTTTGAATTCTGTTTTCTAGTAACATTCTTAGGAAGAGCATTAGATGTATTATTTTTATTCAATGAGGTATCATTAAACTTATTTGACTTAATCAGATCTTCAACTTGAGATTCATACTTTCCAGTATCAATCTTTAAATTCTCCCAAACTCTTATGGAGCATTTGATTTTTATGCTTTCTGAATGTTAGCTAATTTTGACTGTAATACAACTGACTTCTTTAGGAATGTTGATCACTAAGGCAAGGTATTACAAGAAGTTAATGTTCACTAATCTCTTTGCCAAACCAGAATCAGAGGAATGACAAAAATGCATGTAGAGTATGGGCTATGCACAGTATACAGAAGTAGCAGTTTATTAAGTACACACCGCCCATCTTGATCCTACACTCAACCAATATTAATAATTTTGATTTCAAGTTCTTTAGTTTCTCACTTGGTTTGGTTTTTTATTAGATTGGAAAAAATAGAATATATTTTATCCAGAAATATTTTTAAAAGATTAACTTACTTTGTCAGATACTGAATTGTCATAATTGATCAGTTGAATAATTGATAATTGAATTAATTGATTTAAAATAGCGCCAAATAATGACTTTAGGAAAATTTTCTAATAACTTTGTGGCTACTCCAGAATTTATTCCCCGATATGTATTAGCACTATCAGAACAAAATTCAGTTGTTTGCTTTCAAATAATCAATATTAAAAGTCATAGTTATTTAACTTAGACAATAATACATTGAAAATACACTCTGCTGTGCTTAATTAACACACCAGTGCTTTCATACCAACAAATAACACTGCTGGCATAGGAACTGGTTGAACTTTGCACCAAATTCCTGAAAATTTAGCAATTTGTTCTCATGAGCCAGCGGGGGCTGACTCCAGCACAGTGTTCTGTCATTCTACCCTGAATTACCAAATAATATTTTGCTTCAAAAGTAAATTAGAAATTGTTTTAGATATTTAGGAATATCTAAAGTCAATGTATCTAAGCACCATGATGTTCCATTTTGTTTCCCTAAATTGATTTACTGTGGGGCTCTTTGTATATTTGCCTAACAAATTGCATTTCCAAGTTTTGATGTTATAGAGCTAGTCATTTTAATCTACCCATTTGCATAGACTGGAATTAATTTTTTGATAGAAGTAACACCTCAGTTTTGTAACCCAGGAATATTGCTTATTTCACTCTTAGTTAATATCCGAAATCTTTCAAGGGCTAGAGTGCTTTTCTCTAAAATAATACTATAGTATTTTTTAGTATGAAAAGCAGTATTGTGTAATAAGGGGTAGGCAAATTATTGCCCCTAAGCCAGACATACTGGCATTTACATAATACATAAATGTAAAAGTCATTCTTACCTTTGGGCCATGGTTTGGTGGAAAGAAAGCCAGAGTAAGAATGAGGAAGGACAGGATTCAAATCTAGCTCTGGGACATTAACCAGCCCACACTGATGTGGCTATTTTTCACTCTGATATTTCTTTGACCTACCATTTCTTTAGGATTGTTATTTGGCCTCCAATTTTTAATTCTTCCATTATGGTCAGCAAAAGATGTGTTTTTGTACTTCTACTTTTCTGCATTTCTAAGATTTTTATGCGTGTTTATTACAAAGTTTTTGTTGGTTTTCTTTTTATATGTTTGGAGGGAAACTAGGAAGGAATGAAAATGAATTCATGTTCTTTTTTTTAAGTAAAAGCTCAAAAAAAAATCATATTCAGAACAGTATAAAACGATTCCACTTGCAGTTGATATAGTGAGAAGAATTGCACATCATGAATTACAATTCACTACCAAATATCTCCAATTCACAATTAATTGAGAAACTGAAATATTCT